TGGCAAGGAACCAGCGAGGTGACCCGACTTCTGGTGTGGCTTGCACGTGGTGAGAGATTAACTTCTTATATTATCGACAAAAATTTTCCTTTTGGATTATCGCGACGCGCTAGAGAGAAGGGAAACGTTGCCAGTGTCATAGCTGCCTTGGCCCTCTGGGCCGACGGTTCGTCCTTGGTTGGTGTGTGAGTCCAAAAATAATAATAATAAAAAAAAGTCTTTCAGTTCTTCAGGGATGGCGATTAAAACTGAACCAGCACATCCCCTATCTGTTAAGTTAATTATCCTGAAAGTCCTTCAGGGAAAGCGATTAAAACTGAACCAGCACATCCCCTATCTGTTAAGTCAATTATCCTGAAAGTCCTTCAGGGATGGCGATTAAAACTGAACCAGCACATCCCCTATCCGTAAAGTCAACAAAAAAAAACTCTTCGTACAGGTCACTTGTTAATTTGTCTGAAGATAGACGGCTATGACACCAAACTGAACGAGTCTGTGCGATGCGCTGCTCTTCTATAGCCGAAGTCTCGCTCGCTTGTCCCATTGCCAACATGTTCTAGGTGTTTACATATGTCCTAACGTACTATGCTTATGTGTATGCTTAGCTTAGGTTGGCTGCAGTCGCAACTTTAGTTTCGACTTGCATAATCCTGCTTATACATAACTTAATATCAACTTACGTCTAGCTTATCGCTATGTACATTTTATGTATACAGTTTATGTATTGTCGTATGTTCTTATTATTTTTTTCCTTCCTAAGTACTTGCTCCTGTAAGTTTGGGTATACCCTAACGGTGCTACACATTCTGCGCATTTTACAACATAGAGATTCTTGCTGATGTTTGTTCGTTTTGCATGTATCGATTTTCTACCTAAGGTCCGTTCTGCATGTTTTGTTTGCCCTAACGGTGCTATGAGCTTGGTACATTATTTGAAGATTCAATGTGACCTAACGGTACTATATCTTTGTGCAATGCTGCTGTAGCTTCTGCGTATGTTTGAGCTGTGTTCATACCATATAAGTCGGATTGTGCTCTTGTTCTTAATAAGGATTGGGTTCTTACAACTATGCTTTTTTGTTGTACATTGTGGTTTTTCTTTCCCTTTATGCTTGTGGACATTTTGAGTTTTTTTTCTTTTTACTTATAGTTTTATACATTTGGGTTTTTAATTCTGTTATCAAACACTTTGAGTTCTTCCTTGTGTTTATTCTTTTGAGTTTTTTACTTAGTCTTTCATACATTTGAGTACTTAATCCTGCTATTAGACATTCTGGGCTTTTACTTGTGTTTATACTTTTGTGTTTTTTTACTTAGCCTTTGGAGTTCTTCATTCTGCTATTAATCATTTGAGATTTTGAATCTAAGCTTTTATACATTTGAATCTAAGCTTTTTTTTTCTTATCTGAGTTCTTGGCTCTGCTTTTAAACATTTGGGATTTTGGATCTAGGCTTTTGTATACTTGGGTTCTCAACCTATGCTTGTTTACATGTTGCTTTCTTGAATCTAAGTTTTTTTCTTTTATCTGAGTTCTTGACTCTGCTGTTAGCATTTTGAGATTTTGAATCTAAGCTTTTTTTCCCTTTTATTTGAGTTCTTGACTCTGCTATTGAACATTTTGAAGTTTAGGAATCTGAGCTTTTGCATACTGGGGTTCTTAACCTGTGCTGGGGTGTGTTTCTATGGTTTTACATCTTCAATCTGTGTCTTTATACTTTTCCCTTTACAACACATTTGAAGTGTGTTTCTATGGTTCGCCACCACGGGCGCCCCAGGAAGTCATGGAACCGGCCTTTCTTTCGTCCCCTCTTGTATTTGTCGCGTAAGTAGCAGTCGTACGGGTTCCCCCTCTGCGGTTGGACCCACTCGTTCCCTTCGCCGGGTATCAGTTTCGGAGTGGCTGGCGCGCCACCCAACAGCCCAATGGTGGGCGCGATGTAGAGGAGGTCGTAATCGGGGTTGTTTGGGATGATAACCCCCAGGCTGATGGACTCCTCGCTGGTCCGTGGTTTCCTCGCTTCATTGGCGGTGGTCGTTCTGACTGGTTCGTCGACCGCTATCGCTCGCACCGTAATCGGCTCAGCGGTGGGTGTGATGATGGTGACGTCATCGGCGTCGTCGACGGGTTCTTTGGCGCTGACCCGGGC